ACCTGGGTTTTTTCTACCTTTTGGCTATCGTGAATAATGCTGCTGTGAACATGGCTGCACAGTTATCTGTTCCAATCTCTGCTTTTAATTATTTTTGAGTAGATACCCAGTCTTAATCAGTTAAAAATGTTGGGGTGTGTGCTGCGAGATGAGCAAGGTGGCTGGAGGAGCCTCACCCTGGCTACAGAGGGCAAGATTTCTCTGAATGATGGCAAGGGACCGACCTCACTGATGCCTCCCGGGCAGGGTGGAAGAAGGAAGAGCAGAGGGAGAGGGAGAAGCAGACTGTGCTGGGTGCAGAGCTCGACCTGGGCTCCATCTCACGACCCCAAGATGATGACCCGAGCCAAAATCAAGAGTCGGACACTCCACCGAGTGGGCCACCCAGGTGCCGTGCTAATGTTATTTTAGATCACAGAAGCAGGATACAGGATTGGATGTGATAGATTTCATCTATGTAAAGACACAAATGTCCTTCTGTGTGCATATGTATGTGGGCAGGAAAAAGAGCAGGGAGAAATGTAAGAATGTCACAATGGCTGTATTCTGGAGGGGGCTCTTCCTCTCATCCTCACCATTTTCCACATTCTCCACATTTTATAGAATGAGCATATGTGACTCTCATAATGGGTGAAGAGACAGGGGTAGATGAAGTATAAAACCAAACCACAAAAACAGCAAAGGAAAATGAATATTTGTTCAATCTCCAGATCGGGAAGGGTCTCCATGTTTAACAGGAAAAAAAAAAAAATCAGACAGGAAAACAGCCATTTGTTTATTTTAAAAAGTGAAACCCATAACCAAAATTTAAAGGCAAATTCACATGACTGGAAATACAAACACCCAACAATTTTACAAAGAGAACAATGATCAAGGTCACTGAGAAGCAGAGAGTTACACGGTCAAACAGGATACCACTTTCAGCTCTTATCATTAGGGGTGGGGGCTTTTTGGTTTTATGGTTTTTATTATTTGTATGCTCGCCTTATTTTTAGTTTTACTACCCCAAGGTAGCAGAAGAGTGGGGAGAGTGGCCAAAGAGAGAAGCTTTTGACAATTTGGCACAGACAGACAAGCCTAAGGGAGTAATTTGAAATACATAAAAATATTTTATTTGCAAAGTTGTTCATCACAGCATTATTTACAATACCGAAAATTTGGAAATAAGCTGAATTTTCAATCATTGAAAGAAGGTTAATTATGAAAAGCTACACAATAAAATATATTACCATCAGTATAAAGCATCTTTGCAGAAATTTGTAGTAACCACATATAATATTTAGTGAGAAAAAGAAGAATATAAAACTATACGATAAAACACATAGGACGACCACAGCAATGTAAAAAATTCATAGCCCAAAGAAGGCAAGATATTAAGTGACCATCTTGGGGCAAAATACTGATGCATTTTCTTGCCTTTAACTACATTTCTGTTTTCCAGTTTTTCTATAATTAACACTTTAACTTTGTGCTCAGAAAAAGATACCTTTTTTCCAAAGTGGCCACAAGACTCATGATAGCGATGTTCCTGTTCATTTCATGCCACAACACGGTCTAGAGTCACAGAGTGCCAGTCTCGCGGAGATGGTGGGGACGGGGGAAGTGAGTGTGAAGAATGGTCATGAACGGAAGGGGAAGGGGACAAGCTAGGGCGGGCAGGGAGGCAGGGATCGGCAAGGGAGAGTCAGGGACCAGCGTGCACACTGGTCGGCCAAGGAAAGGGGCTTTGTGGAGCCAGGGAAGACTCTGACTGCTCAGCGAAGGTCTGTGTGGACCCCGTAGTAGGCACTGGCGGTGTTCGCAGAGGGTGGGGTCAAAGAGGGAGTTCAGGAAGACACGTGGATTCTTCAGGAGCAAGGGAGGAAAGAGGAGGGGAGGTAAGCTACGTGGGAAGGAGGTGAGAGGGCTGGTGATGGCGATGGCACTAGCACTGGGGGAGGAGAGCGCCGAGGGCCAGAGGGTGCTCCCCGTGCCGCGCTTCAACCAAACAGCCTTGGCACGCCTCTGGACGAGCCTTTTTGCACGCAAACACGGGGTGGACAATCAGCCCCCAGGGGGAACTTGCCAGCCGCTGGGTGGACCCAGCTCACGTTCAGAGTTAGTCTAGGGCAGCTCCGTTCCACTTTCTGCCACGATGGAAAGGTTCTAGATCTGTGCTCTCCAATAAGGCAGCCACTAACCACGTCAGGCTGATGAGCACTTGAAATACGGCAAGCCTAACCGAGATTCTGCTTTGGAAACGTTTATTTCATTTTAATTCATTTAAACAGTCACGTGTGCCTAGTGGCCACCGGACAGCACACACCGAAGAGCGGTGATTCTCAAAGTCTGGTCTCGGGGGGAGCAGCGTAATTTGTAGGAAATGCACATTCTCAGGCCCCACCCCAGCCGCGATGACGCAGAAGCTCTGTGGGCGGGGCCCCGCACGCTGAATTGTAGCAAGCCTTCAGGTGGCTCTGACGCACTCCTCCTGTTTGTGAGCCACTGAAACAGGGCCACTCAAATTTTCTGGGCTCGCTAGTTCTGGTTTCATCTGAACTGTATGCAAGAAGCCCCGCTCGAGTGAAATGGGGCTTTCTACAAACCGTGAAGAAAACGTGCCCAGCTCAGGGGGACGAGAAAGGCTGTGTGGAGCCACAGAGATGTGCTCACTCTGGGCCGAGTCAGGATAAGGAATGTGGTCAGCTCTGACGTCTGAAAACCAGAAAGTGGCTGTTCATCCCAACGTGTGCGGGAGATGTGCAAAAGGAAAGAAAACGTGGCTCTACGTTGGGTTCGGTGTCAAGAACAGTAACCACCCATAACCTGTGAGATGATATGGAAGAGTGTGCCACTGAACGGGAAACGCAGGCTTTGCTTCTAACAGGAGAGAGGTTGTAAATGGAGGCCCAGAGAAACCAAAAGCAAAGGAGAGCTGAAGCACTCGGCCAGTGTCCTCGCATAGGAGAGAGGAGACAGAAGCACTTCCAGTAGAGAGAGATCGACACACAAAAGCGCCCCGTGTAGACCCAGCCCTGGCTGTGGCTTTGGTCACATGGGTGAATTACTGCCAGAAGGGCAGCCGCACCCCCAACCTAGCTGTCACTTCACTCTTCTCTGGCGCAGTTCAGCTTTCAACTTCAGCAAGGGCAGAACTGGGAGATTTTTGATACTACAACTGTGTTTCAAGAAATAAAGCGAGAAAAAATGATGGAGTGTACACACTGCAGCCAACAGGAGCAACAAACGGATGTGAAATAAAAGCCCATGTTTTAAAACTTATCATTATAACTGGGGAGTAGGAGATAAAGCTAAATACACTGAAAATATGTCACGAGGAATTTACAGACTAGATTGTAAAAATCTTAGTGGAAGTGATGAGAGCAATAAAGAGGATGAAGAAGGAGAAATAAAGGGCCCAGGGAACCCATCTACTAGTAAAGCTGAGGCTTCCAGAAGAAAGATGAGCCTCAGGATCGGGAGAGATGATTAGGGCCCTTCACTCTTCCAGCTAGAAACTGCTGTTGCCAGGACACTAAGTCACTTAATCACTTCGAAGATTGCTGTGTTACCATATATACCTCTGCTGTAGGCTAATTAAAAAAACTGCCTGAAATTACTGATTTGAAGTCATCTTTTACTATAATATCTTGCCTTTTTTGTTACAATTTAATACACTTAAGTAACTTAACCTAATTTGCTGAAGAATTTTCTTTCACAAGCATTTACCTTTAAACACTGAAGCACTTGTAAAGAGAGAATTACTAGAAATTACTCACTTCGATACAGGACTACGTAAGATGTTTATTTAGAACGTGGTTGACTCCTCTGATGACTACTGATAACTGACCAGCTTCCCCGTGTTATAAATATGAGTTGTGACTACCCCATCCTTTTTAAGATGATGCAGGCTAAGCTTATTGTAACTACCACCTGCCTTTCTGGTTACTTTCATATTTAGGGAATACAGAACTATGTTCTGGGGGATTAGAAATGACCTAATATTATATATACCAAATGAATTTTTCCCAATTCTCAAAATAATTCAGAATTTAATAAAATTGGTGTTGTCTTTAATCAGCAATTAGAAGTAGAGTATTTCCTGCCTCCTGGATAAATGGATACCTGCAACCAACCATTCCTGAAGAAGGAGAACACTAGCAGTTTTGAGTGACTCAATTCATGGATACAGTTATGCCTTTAAATGTTTTCCACTGTGAATAACGGTGCCTTTCAATAGGTGATCTTTGAGATCAAGGGTCATATTACTTGCTAACAAACTATTATTTGGGCCAGAAGCTCCTGAACATTTCTAACTGAACTTCCCAAATATCTCGTACCTCTAGTTTACTGAGCATTATTTATTATTTGATGCAGAAATTCCACATAATCACTTCATGCACATTTTATCTTCGGATTTTGAAAATTTGCAATCTTATTAACAAAAGTTGAAGATAAGACTTTAAGGCCTTAGCATCTAGCATTACTATTTAACTTCACATTTTACAAAACTGAAACCTGAAATATTGACATAATATTTTGAATATATTGGGCTAAATAATTAAATTATAAACAAAAGAACCAGGGACTTCATGTGAAACCTAATGTGACCAATGGCTACTTTTTGAAATGCACTAAATTCCAGAGATAATTACAGTATTTCTTGAGTACAGTGTTATGTTTGGTTATTATGGTCTCGATGGCTAAAAGCACGACAATTTTCAGTTGCTCCCTTTACGTTTATCCACTCAATAAATAAGCTGTGATTGTCCAAAAAAGGAAAAAATGGTTCAGCCTAGCCCCAGTCCGATTACCAAGTAGAAATTAATAAAGACTCTAATTAATAAAGAATCAAAAGGTTAGGCTATTACATAGCCTTAGGTCAAACTGTTGACGCATGCTTTGATTGCCTACCCCTCAGGTTGCTTCCAATATTATGGGTGATCACCAAATGACCAGCCCTAACTCCCCCTCTCCCCAGATGGAAGGGAGGGAGGGATACCCATCCTCCTCGCTAGTTGGCAGGAGTCAAGGCATCAGTGATCGGGGGAGGTCTCTGCCCTGGGAGTCATTATACATGTTGTGATCCTGCAAAGGGTCAGAATCAACAAAATACAGTTCCCCTGCATGGACGTCAGAAAAGTTAGCCAGAAAGTCATGGGGATTGAAGCCAACCCACACAGTGTACCGATAGTCTATCGTGCGTATGGAATAGCCCATGACCTTTATATCTTTTAAGCTTGGCTTGTCAGAATTCCACTGGGGAGAATCTGCAGGCCGGGGGTACTGGCTATAGGCAATGGACTCACGGGGATTACCACGAAAGTACGGGTCCTCTTCCAGGTCCTGGAATCGGAAATGCTTCACAAGGCTCTGGCCTTCTCGGCACCGCTCGACATGAAATGAGGGAATGGGACAGCGAGGTGGCACATGCAGTCCCGCAAGTCCCGAGAGCGTGGGGGAGAGAGAGAGAAGTTCCACGAGGTCCGTGACTTGCCGGCCTGAAACGGGAAGCAATCCAGCTGAACAGACTAGTTTACAGAAGCCTGCACAGCTCACAGGATGAAGAAGGGAGCATGTCTGGGCTCCATACGTTGTCTTTTGTTCTCTTGCATTTATTTTGGGCCCACGAGTTTAGGAACAACGCCAACTCGGCACCTCACCCCACAGGAGGATGCAAAACGAAGGTGCCCACAGCTGGCTGGCACTTGTAAAAATTTGTGACTTTTGGAACCACCTGTGTAATCACTGATTCAGGCCAGGATCACCAACAGAAGCCCTAACCATGGGTAAAAATCTGTTGGGGGACGAGATACTCGGAGCCTCAGTAGTAGCAGCCTGCAGATCACTCCCTCCTGGACGTCAGCACATGCCCCTTAGACTGTGGCAGACTACAAACAACATCACGTTTACCATCTTCACTGTTCTGTAGTGTCCCATTCAGGGGCAGTAAAAACACCCAGCCTGTCGTGCAGCCGTCCCCACCACCCGTATCCGGAACGCTTCTCACCCTTCCCGAACTGTCATCTGCCCTCCCTGAACGCTCCCTTCCCATCTCCTCCCCCTCCCAGCCCCTGGCACCCGCTATCCTACTTTCTTGTCTCTATGAACTGGACTCCTCGCGGGACCTCGTGTAAGTGCAATCCCATGGTATCTGTCCCTTCAGGACTGCTTCCTTCAATGACCACAATGTCCTCGAGGCTCCCCCATGTTGTAGCAGGTGTCAGAATGCCCTGCCTTTTTTAAGGCCGAGCAACATGCCACTACACGGAGAGACCACATGTGGCTTCTCCGTTCATCCGGCAATGGACGCGGGTTGCTTCCACCTTCGGGCTACTGTGAAGGATGCTCTGAACATTCACGTACAAGTTTTTGCTTGAATACCTATGTTTAATTCTGTGGGATATCTACCTAGGAGTGGAACTGTGGAGTCACATGGTAACTCTACGTGTAACTCTGTGAGGAACCACTAAGCCATTTTCCACAGTGGCTGCACCATTTTACCTCCCTACCAGCAATGTGAGCGTTCCACTTTCTCCACGCCATGCCAGTGCTGCCGGTTTCTATTTATTTTGAGAATGGGTATGAAACGACATCTCATTGTGGTTGATCCATCTTTAAAAAAGTCTCAATCCTATACTTTATATTGATTCCTGTTAAAACTGATCTGGGCTTTGAGCCATCATTCTGGCCTTTCTGGATCTTTAAGAGTTTGCTTTATACAGCCCAATTTTATTTCCTACACATTTGGTAAGTAAAAGAAAAAGAAGAAAAGTAAAGCAGCTTAAAAAAGATACTTTCTACAATGGCAAGACCTGGCTGACATGACCACCTTCATCAGGTGATCAAATCTGGCACCACCACCACCAATGGCGAAGGCCACCATGAAGTGCCCCTGCTGGGACACAATGGGAGCACACAACCTCACGTGTAGTACACGTGTCAAAAGTGTTTACCCTGAATCTAGTCATGAGGAAGCAATGAGACAAATCCAGACTGTGGGCTGTTGCAAAGACAGCTACGTGGAATGCTTGTAAAAAGAAGCGGGCCGGGAGAAACGGGGGCCCAGATCACGTCAGGCCTTGTTGGCCGTTATAAGGGCTTTCACTCAGTGAGACAGGAGCGCAGAAGGCTCCAGAACAGGGCTGTGACAGCCCCTGACTCGGGTTTTGACAGGATCACTTTGGCTATCGTGAGGAGGAAGAACTCCAACGGGCCAAGGGCACAAGCAGGAAGACTTCAGGAAGCTGCTGCAGGAATCCAGCAGGACATGCGGCCGTGTGACCCAAGGTGGCGGCCTGAGGCTGTGAGAAGCAGTACGGCCAGACTGAATGGAGAGCGGTAGGCTTGCGGGCAGACTGCATATCACGTGTGTAGGGAGGATGGGGGACAGGCAGGGGTGAGGAGGACTCCACAATTTTTTGGCCTGAGTAAGCACGGCCATTCCCTCAGAGGGGAAAGAGGGTCAAAAGAAAGGCTTACAGTGAAAGGCCAGAAGCCCAGCTTGGGCTTGGGACAGGCTGTTTGAAATCCCAGTCCAAAGTTCAGAGAGGAGATAGAGCCTAGAGATAAAATTGGGGAATAAACTGGGAACAGTGCAGTTACATGAATTTACAACTTGCTGAACACCTCCCCAAAAAAGTTTCAGAAAACATTCTCAACCTGTCAGATTTCTCCAAGCAAACAGCGGGCTATCATCATGCCCTGATGGTTTAAGCTTTTTATCAGGGACTTGAAAGAAGACAGAGTATGCAGCATACAAAAATCAAATGCACAGAAAATAAAATTGGGCCATATGAAGCAAACCTGGAAACATCCAGAAAGGCCGGAATGATGGGCCAGAACAACAACAGAAAAAAAAAAATCAACGAAAATCAATATAAAGGACGAGATTTAGATGTTAAGTGGATTTAGAGGGATTAAACGCAGAAGTCCAGAAAGGGGGCAACCTGGTTTTGCAGAGTTCATGGAAAAAGTACTCTAACTCATACACAACTCCTCTCTGTGCTGAGCAGATCCACTCAGGAAAGAACTGGCAAAGAACCTCCACAGGTCGCCCCATGCGGCAGCAAAGGGTATCTTGTTCCAGGGACACTTCTGGAAATGTTCTCTTTAAACTGGAGCTTTGGGGAAAGCAGAGACCAGGATAACCGTGGGTCTATCACTGCTGTGAAGGAATTGCAGGCCTGGGGGTTCCCACCTAGAGATGAGAGGTGTCAGTGTCGTTTGCAAAGGCTGGGACGGACTGGCACGTGGAGGTCAAAGTAAACGTGCCCGTCACTGCTGGGGAGGGCAGGGCAGAAGCAGAGTCACCTGGCAGACTTCATAGGTCTAGTGGCTCACTAGACGGCTGAGCTGCCAATGTGGCAAATGCCTCCCTCACGAAGGGCTGCGTCCCGGCCCAAAGGGTGCGCGGGTAACGGAGTTCCACTCATCTGTCGGGGGGCAGGCTGCTGCCCTGGAGGAGTCGGCCGCCCCCTTCCTCTGAGCCTCGGAGCACACGGTCATCTCAACCACGACAGTCCTCCTCATCCCGGGGATGCTGCCTACTCCTTCGCCCCGCCCCCTCTCCAGGCTCCTCGTGGACCGGGGCCGTACGGGTTGGCTCTGGCCCTGCCACTCCTCCCGGGCCCAGAGGTACTCAGGAATGCCAACCCTGGACAGGAAGACGGGGCCGGGTAAGCCCCGGGCTATGAATCAGTGAGATGGTTTGCATATAAAGTAGAGGGAGTTTACTATCAAGCACTATCACTTCAGCACATTTTATACCTGGCTCCGTCAATTCCAAGACGGAATCGAAAGGGTCGATGTATGGGAAAAGCTTCTCGCCTGCCTCTGGAAGCGGAGCTGTCCTCCCGGGAACATAGAACATCAAGGGCACACGGGTAGTGACGTCAAAATTGCTGTATTTGGCCCACTCTCCATGTTCACCTAGGGCCCACCCTGGTTCGCCAAAAGCACAGAATAACAGAAAACAAATAATGACTTCACAGCTCAGCTTGTTCATTTAAGATACCACTTCATTCCCTGTTGTAGAAACCAGAGGAAGCAAAAACTCATCACACAGAAGAAACTCCTCTGTAATTACCACAAAGAAGGTGATCTTCCCCAAATACTGCTTTATTTGAAGTTAGACATTTGTCTTGAATGAGGAAACGTCTAAAAGGAAAAAAACATACCAAATTCCCAGACAAAACTATCTTCTTTTGGCAAGCAACGAACACTTGCACCCAGCTTGGGCTCCGAGGGCCCGGCGCCCCCCAGCCCCCCAACCCCGCACACAGGCCAGGCCTCCGCTCCTGAGAGGGGCTCGTCCTGACTGGGCGGGGATGCTGCCCTGTCCTGTGCTGCCCTCTCTGGACACAAGTCCCCCAGGTTCCGCTTTCCACTTGAGGGACTGCGCCACCAAGCCATGAGCTGTGACGCTGCGACAATCACTCACTTTTTTTTATTTTTTTTAAATTTTATTTATTTATTTGACAGAGAGAGAGCACAAGCAGGCAGAGAGGCAGGCAGAGGGAGTGGGAGAAGCAGGCTCCCCGCCGAGCAGAGAGCCTGACGCGGGACTCGATCCCAGGACACTGGGATCACGACCTGAGCCGAAGGCAGACGCCTAATGACTTAGCCACCCAGGCGCCCTAATCGCTCACCTTTTAAAAAGGCAGAGATATCTTGTTCAATTTTTAAAACATAGCACAGACCAAAAAAAAACAGAACTTGATTCCAGACCCTTAACCTCCATGAAAAACACAACCCCCTTAACCCTGACTGAAAACCTTCCTTGCAAAAGACAGCTTGACCACTCGAGCTGGAAATTTCCAATGCTGCTTCTACGCACCCTTTCTGATATAAAAACTATAAAAGACAGAGATTGCACCTTGAGTATTTCATGTTACAAAATAACCAAAGCCACATAAAGCTGCCATATATGGATTCGAGAGGCTTTTGTGGTTCGGAGGCAGGGAGTCTCAGGAGGGCCATTTGAGAAGAGCCATTTGTAATCAGTGCAGCGGCCTTGGAGCATAGAGAGCTTCTGAGTGGGCCTTGCCTTCTTCCCGGGCACAGTGGACTGTGTTAGCGCTGGGACAGGAAACTGAGCACTGACAAGAGGGGTCAGGAGTGGATGGCAAACCATTAGGGAGAGAGCGAAACATTTTGACACCTCCATATACAACAAAATAATGTGGGCCTTTGCAAGGCTTAAGGTAGGGCCGTGAGCAATCCCATGGAGAACTGTCCGTGACATTAAGTGGAAAAAGCAAACCAGGGAGGAAAAGAGTTGATAAGCACAATCGATCTTATATATTACATACATTCACACGCCCGCACACACCACAACCCCCTGTGCGTGCACAACCGGAGGCTGGCCAACGGACCCCAGGTCTGTCAGCGCCAGTCCGGCCCCGGCAGGCGGGATAAAAGGGCAGGGTGCTCCGGGCCCACATTATATGCTCTCTATGCTTTTTTATTTTTACAGCGACTCTATGTTGGTATCGTCCCATTGCATAGTTGACGATACTAAAGAACTGTTTTCCTGTCTCTAAGTATGACAATGGTAGTATGGTCATATTTTAAAAGAGCTAAATTTTTTAGAGATACTGTTCAGAAACCTAAACAACCTGGGATTTGCTTCAGAATAATTTGGGGGTAGGGGGAGGGGTGAGGACGAGCCAAACCAGACCACTGGGAGTGGGTAACTGGGGAGCAGAGTGATGGGGACTGGGGGTTGCTGTTTATCCTCTGTTCTTGGACGTGTTAAAATTTTTCAAATTAAGAAGAATCTTCTTAAATAGTTTCCATTTTTGGAAAAAGTGGGAAACTGCCCTAAAAGAGAGAAAGCATTGCAAGCCCCAAGGCTCTTGGCAGAAAGAATATGGGGACTGGGGGTGGAGGAGTGAAGTCAGGTCCGAGGGCCTCGCTGGGCCAAGATTGTTCTGGAGAAAGTCCTCCAACCCTCTAGATTGGAAGCATGGGTTTAAAAGGGTTCCCCATGCAAATGGGGGATTCCTGCTGAGATCATCCAGAAAAAAAGGTTCTACGAGGTCCCCACCCGAGCATCCAGGATGCTCCTTGGACCCAAAAGAGGCCCCACCTCTACGGAGAGAGGTCCCAGGACTAACGGGCCGTCATAAAAGCACCTCAAGACCCCAGAGTTGGGGCACTGCTGATTCCCAAAAGAGAACATGCCTGTGTTTAAGGCAATCTAGAAAAGCATGTTTCCCAGAGAAGTCCAGGTGCTCTGAGTGACTCCCCAGGGGACCGGAAAATGCTTACCGTGATCGGAGACAAATGCAACGATGGTGCTGTTAGCCAGCTGGAAATCATCCAAAGCACTCAAAAGGTGGCCCACCTGCGTGTCCAAGTACGAAACGGAGGCAAAGTAGCTCTGGCGGATTTTCCGCTGCACGTTAAAGGAGGAGAGTGAGTGCCACCTGAACCGCGCCCACAGAGCCGTGTCACCTCTGCTGATGCCCTTGAGTCGCTCAGCCAAAACATAAAGCACATTTCCCCACCATCTGTGTCCCTGGGCCCACGTGCTCCTGGCAAAATCCAGGGTCCACAGATCCAAAAGGGAGATTCTTTTCTAAGCAAATCAGATTTCACTTTAGGGCACAGGTCACAGCAGATGGACGTGCCACTTACTGTCCCTTTCTGTCTCCTTCACCTCTTCTTATGGGTCCCAGGAGGTGACCATGTAAACTAAAACGCACCCCTCCCCCCCCCGAGTTCCTCCCAACTCTGCTGAGGGTGGCACCAGAGACCCAACGAAGCTCTATGCCTTCCCCCAACGACCGGAAACCGGGGGGCTTAGCACAAGGGACAGCTACTGAGGTGCAGGGGTCGGCAGAGCCACGCTCTCCCCCAGGACTCTGGTGGAGGGGCCCGCCTCGTGCAGGACGAGGGGGAGGAAGGAGAAGAGGAAGAGCAGGAGTGCTGGCGCGGCCCCATGGGTCCTAGGAAGCAGAGGTCTCCACTGGCAATTGCGTGGCAATGACCCTCACAGGCAAGTGGACAGGCGTGTCTGAAATCAGGAGCAAGACTGGGAGAGGCGGCGAGAAGGGGCAGGAAGGTTCCGGTGGGGGCCCTGGGGCTGACCCAGCAGAGCAGCAGACACAGAAAGGGGAGGGGGGCAGAGGGGGCCCAGGAGGACCAGCGAGGGGGCCAAGAAGGAGTGGCACCAGCCAACAGTGAGGAAGCAGCAGGGACTTCGGAAAGGTTAGGCCCCACAGGGATGAATTTTGTTTGCCAAGGTCGGTACCGACCTCGGTAAGAGCGCTGAGGGGGCTGGGGAGGCAGGAGGCTGGACAGAAGCGAGGGAAGAACGAACGGACACTAAGGCCACATTTCCCTCCTCCTCCCTTGAAGGGCACGTGAGGGCATGGTGTCAGCTGCTGAGAGATGGTGAAGAGAGGTGTAAAGGACAGGAGGTGAGCAGCCACATGGGGCAAGAGAGTCCCGAGCAGAGAGCCCTCGTGGGTGGGCTGCTGGGGCTGGAGGCCGGGCCCGTGTGTCTCCACCTCAGGACTGCACGGATTCAGTCCAGCGGTCTCGGGACCTGGGCTTGAGAGCAGAGTGGTGGCCAGACCGTCCTGTGATCGGGGCACAAGTGTACTGAGGGGCTGGCGAGAACAGTAAGCCACCTGCCCAGGAGCGAAGCCCAGGGGGAGAGGAGAAGTCCCCACTCACAATCCCCAGGAGGCGTGTGGGGAACAAGTACGTGGAGTGAAGGAGCTGTGAGAAGAAGAGACTGCGGTCAGGGTGGTGACCAAGGAGGAGGAGCCCGCCCGGGAGGTGACACGCCCCCCCCGAAGCTGGGCCCTCAGGTCCCTCCCTCCCGTGGAGCTGAAGAGGGCAGAACTGACAGGCTCCAGAGTGCAGGGAGATGCGGCCTGGGCGCAGACACCCAAAGCTGCTAGAGAGCAGGGAGCAGGGCCAAAGTTCAAGGTGAATGTGGGCCGGGGAGCAGCATGCAAGCACACCAGGGAGGCCCTCTGGGCGGCGACAGCACCCGCGGGCAGGGGTGGGGGCGGGGAGGAGGGCACCCGAAGGAGCCCTCACAGGCGGCCGGCACCATCCTAGATGCTTTCGCAGGTTCGCTGCGCTCCCTGCTGGGAACCTTTCTCCACCTCGTTTCCGACTTACAGGTAAGGAAACAGGCTCAGGGAGACAAAGGGACTTGCCAGGGGCTGTGCAGCTGGTATGGGGGAGAACGGGAACTCGAACCCAGGCTGTTCAGAACCCCGACAAGACAAAGCACGAGGCTCCGGCATGCCGTGTCTCCAGTGGGGAATTCGGACTCCCCGTGGCACTCACTCTGCGGGCTGGGGCAAGTCACCACACCCCCCTGCCTGTAGCTGTCCCCACCTCGACGACAGGGAGGGCATGTACCTCACTGGGTTTCCATGGGGACCAGAGGAGATGACACACAGAAAACACTAAGCACCCTCCTTGGGACACAGTCCACTTTAAAGGGACATTTTAAGTGACCAGCACTAACAAGGCATCCGGGTGCAGGCTCGGAGGTGCCATTCAAACGACCTTGTCTCAGAAAACCCCCGTGACGGGAAGTCAGGGACAGAGCCACGGGACGAAGCCGCTCCTCTGCCGACTCTCACCACTGCCAGGTGAACCTCGGGAGTCCCACGGACACGAGGGGTGCACAGCCCTCACCACCCAAACCCTCAATGTCCAAACAGCTCTGAATAGCACGAGACGTCTGGATATGTTGTGTTGTTCTGAACTATACCCTATGGCAGTATTTGCAGGCTTCTGCGTGCATCCGAACTGCCAGGGGTGCTTTTGCAAATGCCAGTTCTCAGGCCCCTCCTCCAGTTCCCCATCCCCCAAGTCTGAGTTGGGCCAGGATTCTGTACTTCCAACAAGCCTTCATGGGGATTCTGATGCAGGTGGCCCAGGAAGCACCCTTTAAAACCGTTGCCCTCTACCTTCTACTGCAGGCTGCCTATGGAATATTCCAGAAAGAGCACTGGTCGGCATGTTTTCTGCACTCCAGGGAGAGGGTCAACTGCTGAGTCAGCTGAGGAGTCTAGCTCTGTGGCTACTCCGCCTCCACACAACGGCAAAGGGACATCCGATGTTGCAGCTGGATGGCACTGGCCACGTCGGCGCCCTGGCTCCCCTCCGTGTCAAGGCCCTACTCAGCACACCACCACCTGAGAGTGACAAGTGACTACGCAGGCCTTCCCACAGAGGGGCCGTGCAAGTGCCAGCAAACTGAACATTCTGGGCTGCACAGTAGCCACCCGCCACTCTGCAGCTGATGAACTGTCACGTGGATTAAACAGCATCCTCCATGAGTCAGCGAATGGGTCATCCAGACCTCCTCCCTACCCCAGTGCCCATATTCAGTCTATCACCAAATCTCCAGATGTACCCCCCCACCCCCGCCGCTTCTTTACAAGTGGAGACAAGGCTTGGGAGACAATATCCACGGAGTACTCCCCATCAGTCAATCACCAAATCTCCAGATGTACCCCCCCAACCCCCCCCGCCAGCCGCTTCTTTACAAGTGGAGACAAGGCTTGGGAGACGATATCCACCTAGTACTCCCCACATCCTAAATTCCTCTAGACCACGCCCAGCCCCAGCGCCTCAGAAGACACCTAGCACAGAGAAGATTCTGAGTAAGACACGATGGGTGGGGTGGGGTCACCGAAGACATCAGGGCATCCATAAGAGCCCAGTAATCCCCCCAAATATGTCCCTGGTACCTGAAAATCCACAGGAATTGGGCCATAGGGCACACTGAGGTTCAAGGCCTGGACGTCCTCCCGCTGCCTGATGTCCATCCAGGGGTTGTAGGCCACGGAAGGGAGGCCAGCAGGGACCTGGGGGTCAGGAGCCAGGGTGATGTTCTCCAAGGGATACAGCTTCTGAAACTCCTTGGGGGAAAAGCACACAGAGACACCAGGTTGTCATTCTTTCAGCAAAGGCACAAGGCTGGGACTCTCTGGGTCTTTCTAGTGCCTCTTCTCTAAGCCCGGGATGTGTTTACACGGTGACTCACTGACACTCCCCAGGTGCCTTCCCCTACCTGAAGGTCAGGCCTAAGGTCACTGTCACAAGATGCCCATGGTAACGAAATCCTGCCACTCGTCTCCTATAAACCAAGCAGCAACAGCTCTTTTTTCATACAAGTCAACGTCCTCCTATTCCTGTCTGCACTTCCTCCTTCCCCTGCAGCTGGAGAAGGGGTAGGGGGTGTTTCCAGTTCCCAAAACCTCCCTCAGGTTGGGAAACTCCTCAGGAGCGCTCACAGAACTTGGCACAGTCCTACCTGCGGCTACCAAACACAATCAGCAAAGGGCAAAGCCACATGAGCAAAGCCCAGGGAAAACCAGGCACAAGCTTCCAGAATCCTCTCCCAGTGAAGTCACCCAGGATGTGCTTAATTCCCCCAGCAATGAGTTGTGTAACGTGTGTGAGATGCTGTGGCCGTGGAGGCTCACTATAGCCTCAGCACGCGGGCTGTTTACTGGGGCTGCCCGCCCAGGCCCCCTCTCCCTGCACCTATCGATGCCACAGACTTTAGGCGGGAGAGCAGGGGTGTGCGTAAACAGTGTGGGCACAGGGAGCCGCTCCTCGCTTGGGGAGCGGTGCGAACTCTCCCAGGATCCAGGGTGCCAGAGACCAGCCAAAGGCCAACCCCGCAAGCAGGCCTTGCTAAGGGGAGCAGCTAGGCCGGCTAGGGGAGCTCCCGTCTGCACAAGGGGCAGAAGTGAGTCTCCCTCTGTCAAAGGGGGACAGATCCGGCTAGGAAGGCGAGATCCCCTGGGCCAGTCAAAGCATCAGCGAGCAGCCTTTGGCTTTCCACTCCCATCACAAAGGAGAGGCATTCTTTACAAAGTCAAAAGAATGCGCTGCTCAGGCCCAGGGAAGACACAACAGGGAAAAACTGAAAAAGACTTTTAAAAAGAAGAGACTATACACTCTAAATGATGGACAGGCAAGCACAGCTCAGGTTGCAACAAGCAATGCAGCACCATACGTGGAAGGGGTCTCACGTGCCAGGCTCAGGGGGATGCCGATTACTGAGGAGGGCTTCGCGGCCCTTGGAATCGTGCCCCAAGGACTGTCCCTTACCACGGGCATCGGCGGCCAGCTCTGACTTCTCCATGCCGGTGTTACCGTCCGACCCAACACATGCTCCCCGAGTTCAAGGAAAAGAAATAAAACCCTCCAGTGGGGAGGGAGGAAGCCGAGCATTTCCAACAAGATGCCCACATGCCCTAAGCCTACTTCTGAGCCTTGACCTCTGGATCCCGTCTTCACGCCCCTCAGTACAACAGCGCCATCGGGCACCCCCGGTGACCAGGGATGGCAGGACGTGGCCCCACTACACCAACCCCTCCTTCAGCAAATGACACAGCCGTCACAGAGGTGTGGGGTCAGCCGTCAGGCCGCTCTTCACCTTGGGGTATCTGAAAGGGATGTGCGGCTTATGATACCCAACAGCCAGGAAGAAAGGGCGCGCCGAGGTTTTCGTCTTTTCCAACAAGCGGATGGCTTGCTCAGTGCTCTGTTTGTCAGGCAAGGTGCCCTCTGGCACATCCGCCACATCCACAGGGCAAAGCAGGTTGGCATGGAGCTCTCCGTCCGGCCCCCTACATGTCTTTCAAGACAAAACATATCAAGTCAGCTCTTTAAGTGCAAGAAAGAGAAGTCACGAAGGTGGCTGGGCACGCACAATGGACCCAGCATTCACAGCAGCCGCCCTCTAAGTCCACCTCATGTACCCTGGCCGGGCACACACGAAGGAGAACTGAAACAGAGAAGCGTCTCTTCTCCAGGCAGGGGCCAGAAATCCACCAGCACTTAGCTTCCTGCTGTTAATCTTCTGTCTCCAGGTCGTAATTAATTAAAGGAAACCCATGGAAACTAATGATCAAAACAAATCTGTCTCCAGCTCAATAATTAAAAAAGAAGGCCAATTAAAAAATGGGCAAAGGGCTTGAATAGATGTCTCTCCAGACAAGACAGGTAAATGGCCAACAAGCACACGTCAAGATGCTTCGTGTCATTAGCCATCATAGAAATGCCAGTCGAGACCACAGTGAGATACCGCCCCACACGTGCTAGGATGGCTAGAAATTTTAGAACTGGACAACGACACGTGTTGGCGAGGACAGGAAGAAACTGGAACCCTCATCCATAGCCACTGAGGGTGCGAAACAGGGCAGCTGCTGTGGAAAACACGCCGCCGGTTCCTCAAACAGTTAAGAGTGTCATTACATAACCCAGCAATTCCACACCTAGGGAGACACCAGGAGAAATGAAAACCTAAGTCCACACAAATACTTGACCTAGCGATTCTACCCAAGAGAAAAGAAATCTTAAGCCACACAAAAACGTGTCTGCGAATGTTTGTAACAGTAGTGGTGGTAGTAGCCACAGAGTGGAACCAACCCAAATGTCCATCAACTGGTGAATGGGTAAATAAAATGGGTTCCACCCACACAACAGAATACTATTTGGCTATAAAGAGCAACACAGTTTTGGGGCACCTGGCTGGCTTGGTCAGTAGAGCATGCAACTCTTGATCTCAAGGCTGGGTTTTTCTTTATCAGATTTTATTTATTTATTTGACAGAGAGAGACACCGCGAGAGAGGGAACACAAGTAGGGGGAGTGGGAGGGGGAGAAGCAGGCTTCCCGCTGAGCAGGGAGCCCGATGCGGGGCTCGATCCCAGGACTCCGGGACCATGACCTGAGCCGAAGGCAGACGCTTAACGACTGAGCCACCCGGGGGGCCCAAGTTCGGGGGTTTGAGCCTCACTTCGGGTGTAGAGATTACCTAATAAAATCTTTAAAAACAAAGTAATGAAGTTCTGGGGCGCCTGGGTGGCTCAGTCGGTGAAGCGTCTGCCTTCGGCTCAGGTCATGATCCTGGGGTCCTGGGATGGAGCCCCACATCAGGCTCCCCGGCTGCTCCCTCTCCCTCTCCCTGCCGCTTCCCCCTACTTGTGCTCTCTCTCTCTGTCAAATACAGAAACCAAATGTTTTTTAAAAAAGGATCGTAACACCTGTCTCTGTCAAGTCATAATCACAGACAAAACCCACAAACTGCACTGTATAACCAGCTTGAAAGAACGTGAGGCATACGCAACAGTGAAGCTTCATCCTGCTGCACAGGAAAAAAGCAGGTCCTCTTCAGAACAGTACCCTTTTCACATCCTTACCTTGGTGTTTTCATACTTTTCAGAGGAGGGATGGTAAGGCGGCATAGACCAGCTATACGGAGAGTCATCACTATAATTGGAAGATATTCCTTAAGGGGGGGGGGAAAGAAAGTCATTAAATAAAACCTGAAGTGTCCTCCAATGCCCTCCCCACTCCACATCAAAACTTTGCGAACAGCTACGGAAGTATCATCTCCCTTCTTTGGGACTCTTTCCTCATCTATAAAATCAAGAGCTTAGGCAGATGATGAGAAGTCCCCATTAAAGCCCCACTCGCTAGGTTTCTATGTGAGCACTAGGCATCTGACCTCCCGGTCCCTTAAGCCCTGGCAATCCATGCTAGGCTCTGAGGAAGAAACCCAAAATGGTAGGATCGGCCAGCCTGCTACAGCAACGCGGCCCTACGGAGCCCTTGCTGGAGCCTCTCCCCGACCCTACAAAGAGGCAGCAGCACCCCCACAGGCCAGGTGCAGAAGGGGAGGCTCAGGGAAGGTCAGTGCCTAGACTGATAGCAACCACATGTCAGACGAGCGGGCTGGGACTCAGACCCCGGCCTTAGGACCCCAGGTTCAGTGCTCATTCATGGAAGCAGAAACCCGGCCCTAAGTGCAGCAGTTTGTAGTCGGTTTGGGAAGAGACAAGAACGGTGAGACTACAGAAGGCTGGCCAGCCGTCTAGAGAGCAGAAGGGCCACGTGGGTGGGGCAGCCGCAGAGGTGATGGGTCAGCGAGGGCTGTGAGGAGTCGGTGAGGCGTGTGTGGGCTCTGAGGGGAAGCGTCGCCTAGGGGGGTGAGACAGGAGGACCAGAGAGGGTGGGGTAGGTAGAAAGAACCGCAGGAGAAAGAGCGTCCCCAGCATAGGGACGGGCAGGCTCCAACAGGCAGCACCAGGCAAGGCGGGACTGGAGGGACAGGGGGCAGTGGGTGGAGGGCTCATCAACACAGCAAGCCCAGTGGAGAGAGCAGAGCAGGCCAACAGACCCGGGGTCAAATCTCAGCACCACTCCGTACTACCCGCGCGACCTTGGGCAAGCCCCTTGACTTCCGTAAGCCTCAAGTTCCTCCCCAGGCAGAGACGCTGATGCTAAAAACCCACCCAGCCTGCTGCGGAGGAGAGGACCCCGGGAGCGGCCAGCACCGGAACTGGCACGTGCCCGGCAGTCTATGGATGGCGGCTGCTGTCCTCCTTGAACAGGCCCCTGCCTCGCAGGCAAGGTCATGAGAACAGAGACCCAGCTGGAAAACATGCTGCCACAAGGACCGCAGGCTAAGCTCTCGTTCTCTGGGTAAGACGTGCTGCGTACGGCCTGACTCCACCATCTGATAATCCACGCCCCTCGGGCCTTCCTCAGCCTCCCTTCCTGAAGCACGGCCTTCCCTCTGCCCTACTTCCTCTTCTCCCCAAACCTGTCTCTCCCCTCCTGCCGTGCTCAGTCAGGCAAGGCCTGTCAGGGTGTAAGTGCCACCTGCACAAAGTTCTGACGGTGGGCTTTTGGTGACACACGATTCCTGACAGAAACACTTTCCAAAACGGGGCCCCACTTAGCCCAGCCAAATGCTGTCCTCAGCCTGGACTGGCCAGCTGGGTTCCCGAAGGCTGCTGAGCCTGCTGATGTCACCAGGGAGCAAAGGCAAAGCCACCGAAAACGTTCAAGTCATCGTCCTTAGCGATAAGCACTACGGTCGTATAAAGTGGGCATTCCACCCACTCTCACACCCTTGAACTACTGGAACTGGGGCGCTACCTGGGAGGGAACCCAAGCCGCTATGACTCATCTGCCAGGGAAGGAATCTAAGGCTGAGAGAGGAAGAACAATTGGCCCAAGGTCAACTGCACAGCTAAGAAGGGGCAGAGCTGGGACTGGAACCCGAGAGCCTGGATCCCCGGTGCCACTGTCCGTCAGTTCCCTCTGCAGAGACGTTCATCCCAGCAGTACGTGTGACAAGGGGGACCTGAAATCAACTTGAGACTAAAGTACAGTGGATTTGTACATGAGACGACTGTGCTGTTGTTGAAAAATGACATGCACGAAGGGCAGCCGTATGGGGAAAAGTCTGTGTAAAACGTCCACAACACGAAACCGTATACACAGGAAAACCTCACATCAGAAAAAGAGTACGCCTGGAAGGAGGGAACATCAAACTTCAGCCCTCCCCAGGGTGGTGCAATTACAAGTAGTTCATATCCTTTAGGTTATACGTCCCTTCTTTTCCCCCCAACTTTTTGTCAAATAACCATGCATTACTTCAACAGGTTTTAAAAAGGTGTTAAAGTCTGTGTTTCGGCGTTCTCATTTTGGCACCGAAAAGAGCCAGTTTATCAGGCCTGGTTGGAAGTCAGCACTGGTGGCCCCTGGCACCCCCTTCAGGCCCTGGGCGCCGGCGTACACCCCTCTTGCCGACCTAACTCACAGACGATGGGCAGCCACGCCCAAGTGCGGGCCTCTTCACTGGCAAATCCTCAGAGCCGCCCTGCTCTCCCTTGACTGACAGGGATCCGGGGGCACAGAGGGCCAGTCAGGTCAGAGCTGGGGATGCCACTCTGCCACCTCCCCAGCGAGTGCCCCTCCTTCCGGCCGAGAAGCCCAAGGAACCAAACAGCACCACGACTAGTGGCCGAAAGAAAAAAGTCCTACTACCCTTTTCCACTTTCGGTGAGAGCACGAAGCTAAGGTGAGGAGTAGTATTTTGTACAAAGACAGCAGTGGCTAAGGCGGTGTCCACCCGGCCCCAGCAGGCGTCTGCAAAGACAGCCCCAGCCCCCAGAGGGGGATTCCAGCCCTTGGGCACAAAACACAAAAGAACCCAGATTTGGGACAGCAAACAGTACCAGGGTGAAAGACTTTTCCAACCGACATGGTCACGTAGCCGTTCTCCTTGAAGTACTGGGGGATGGTAGAGAAGTTTCCAGCATGTACTCTCCAGTAGGAATTGAAGTCATACAGGCGGGTGGTGTCTGGTCTCCTCCCAGTGAGGAAGGACACACGGCTCGGGGCGCACACTGCTTGCTGTTAGGGAGCGGAAGCAGAGGGAAATGTCCTCGGAGGCACACACAGGCTGGATGCTAAAAGGTAACCAGGCAACCTCAAGAGTCCTCAGCCAAACAGCCTGGCAGCTGAGTCATGCAGATCAAAGCCAACCAGTGGGGTAAGGGCCTCACTCAGACACCAGGAATAATAAGTCTTCCCACAAAGAGGCAGGGAAGGACTCAGCCCCTCAAACCAGCAGATGTTTGTGTCCTGTGTGCTGGTACCCCACAGGTGCACTGAAGCAAGGGTCTTAAAGGCTGCCCCGTGAGGGCCGCCAGGGCAAGCCGCGTGGTGCTTGCCCAAGGTCGGCTGGCAGACCTGAGAGTGCCATTCTGCAACACCCCTTCCTTCTCAGCACCAGGCAATCCCTTTGGGGAAGAAAGCTGGGCAGGACCATCCTCTGAGCATGTTAGGGTCAAGGGACAACCTCTGCCCAAGCTTGAAGGCACAAGCTTCCTTGCCAGCACACAACCAGGTTTTCTCTACCGCCATTCTCCAGAGATGCCTGGCCCAATCGGTGCCGTCTAACCATAGCTGAAAGGACCCCATCCCCCAACCCACGGCACAAAGCACACACCCACACCTAGACGTCCCCAGACATACCTGGGCAAAGGCATTCTGGAAGAGGAGGCTGTGGGATGCCAGCTGGTCGATGTTTGGGGACCTTACGAGCTTGTCCCCGTAACAGCCCAGGGAAGGGCGCAGGTCATCCACGATGATTAGAAGGACGTTCAGAGGAGCTGGACGGGAGGGAGGAGCTTCAGGGAGATCACCTGCACTGACAATGAACCCCCAGTCATGACTGGTGCTAGGGTACTGAGTGGCCCTAGGCTGGCCCCTGCACCCTGGGCAGCCCCGCCAACCAAGCCAGGGAGAGGGAGACTAGGGTTGTGCCTCAGGGAGGGCGGGAGTGGGTGCACAGAAGAAACCCCGGTCCTGGGTGGCAGAATTAGGCTCTGAGCATGGCCTCAAGCCTGGATGAGGGAGGGAGGGAAGGATAGAGGAAAGGAAAGAAGAATTTAGGGAGGGAGAGAAGGATGGGGCGAAGAAAAGACCGTGGGAGGGAGGAGAGGAAGGATGGGTGTTATACGGAAGAGCAGATGGGACAGAGACAGGAAGTTAAGGATGGACGTAGGCAGAGAAGGAGGTAGGGAGCCCGCAATCTGAGCGAGGGCTAGGGCTGCACCTGGGGTCCAGCTGCCAGGCGCCGCAGACTCAAGGGAGGCGCAGACCGAGGCCAGGACTAAGCCAAGCCAAAGCAGGCACCAGCCGACCAGCAGCATTTCTGCCCCGGCGCGGCCACTCCGGGGCGACGGTGACAGGCTGCGGCGGACCGGCCGGCCACAGGCCTTACGTCGCCGACGCCGCCTGCGCGAAGCGGCCGCGGCCGGCCCCACAGGCCCCGGGCACGGGGGCCCGAATGCTAACGCGCCTGCGTGCCTCGTACCCGCCCCGGCCCGCCCCCTCGGGGGGCGGGGCCTGCTGGCTCGCGAGGACCCTGCGCGTGATCCCGGCCACAGAGGGCGGGGCCGGGGTTAGAGCCCAGAGCCTGGAGCGCAGAGCCCGCAGCCAGCTGAGCCGTCCTGCCTCGCAGACCCGCCAGCCCGCCGGCCTCTACCGCCTTGGGGAGCTGCCCTGAGAATTTTTTCGGGGTGTTTCCAAAGATTTGCGATGCAACCACTGTCCTTAACCAGCAGTTTTCTGCCTCTTTGCCTTTGCTTGTGTTATGCTTTCCATCTGGAAGCCCTTCCCTTCACCGTAACTATTTGTCACACTTCCTCACAGACCAGCCCAAATGCCATTCTCTCCTCCATCTAAAAGGATCCCCCCCTTTTTTTTAAAGATTGTATTCACTTATTTGACAGAGAGAGAGAGAGAAAGGGAACACAAGCACGGGGAGTGGGAGAGGGAGAAGCAGGCTCCCCGCCGAGCAAGAAGCCTGGTGCGGGGCTCCATCCCAGGACCCTGGGACAATGACCTGAGCCGAAGGCAGACATTTAAACGACTGAGCCACCCAGGCACCCCTGAAAGGACCCCCTTTTTATGCATTTGCTCAACAAGTACTTATTAAGTACTGCAGATATGTATACCAAGCTCTGCTGGTGGCTCGGGAATTCTAAGTCCCTGCCCTGGTGGAACTTGCCGACAATAAATAACCAAATAAAAAACGGCAGTGGGCATGTCCAGTCTGGACAAAAATAAGGCAAGGAGGAGTTGCCTGTTATTGTCTGTACAGGGTGGCCAGGCAAAGCCTCACTAGTAAAGTGACATTTGAACAAAAACTTGAAGGAGGTAAGGGAGCAAGCCACACGGATGTCTGCAAGAAGGGTGCTCCAGGCAGAGCGAGCAGCCATTGTGGAGAGCCTGCATGATGGTGTTAGGGGACAGCACAGAGGCTGGTGTGGTTGGCAGTGAACTGGAGATGGGGAAGGCATAGGAGATGGGAGGAGTGAGGGTCCTAACTCCTTCCACCGCCAGAAACCTGAATTCACCGTCTGCCTGGGAATGAACGTTCAGAAGGACATCACAGTCCCTCTCTTCCCGTCTCTGACTCACCCCCCATCTCCCAGTGAAATTACCTAACAATGCCAGGCAGATTGCAGATCTCTCTCTCTCTCTCTCTCTCTCTTTGCATACAGGAAGGCATAAATACTAGTATTGTTACTGGGGGCTTCCTATAACCCAGGCAACATGCTCGTTTTCTCCTCACAGCAACACTGTGAGCTAGATGCTACTACTATCATTCCTGTTTTGTAGATCCAGAAATTAAAACTCAAAGAGGCTACATCACCTAACCAAGCACACACAGGCAGGAGGTGGAGGAGCAGGGCGGTTCTCCATGAGAGGCCTGCTTCCTCAGGAGGGAGCCAGAGCCCGGTCATCCCAGGCAACCTGCTGCCAATTGCTGCCCCACCTGCTTTGCTCTTTCCTCGGGGACCCGCGTGGGCGGCTGTTCACACGGGAGCCTGGAAGCCACGCTGCAGCGTCTGCCTGCACTCCCCACACCAGAGCATGCTGAGTCCCTCAGGGTAGGCCAGCTCCGGCCAAGGACCCAAGTTGTCAGGCCTCAGTTAGCCCCTCAGCTGTCCCTCCTCATCCTGACACTTCCCTTGTATTGGTGGCTGCTCAGGGTCTTACCCTTTCCCTCTCAAAAGTATGGCCTTAATGTTTCAGGAGACTCTGAGCCTGGCGTCAACAAAGACTCCGGTGGATGTTTAGAAAATTTCTCTTACCCTTATTTCCTTTCCTTGGCATCTGCAATACTTTCTCATAGCAACAGATGTCTCCCATGAGCTTGTGAACTGAGGAACCTCATAATATCATACTTGTCCTTATCAAAAAGCCATTAATAAAAAAGTATTCACTAAGCCCCAGGGTTAACCAAAGAAGGGAATGAGGCAGGTCACACACAGTTCCTGCCTCCAAAAAATGTCTGTTCTTTTGTGGACTCCTTTCACGTTGGCAAACATTTCCCGAGCCACCCCATCCAGGCCTGTGGGCATGGCGCGGGGATATACGAGGAAGAAGGAGGCAGACTGGTTCTTGCCTGCTCCCCACCCTCCACCCCCGGGAGTGCACGATCTGTGCGGAGGAGAACAGCAGCATAACCAGGTCGCCATCATACAGGTGGACTTCTGATTTGTCAGAAAGAAAAGTTTCTCCAGAGGAAGCAGTTGGACGTGAAGACAAGTTCATGCGCTCCCACATTGATTCAAGCGCCCTCTGACATACTGCTGAGTTGTTGGAGTACATCAAGCTGGAAAGTCTGTTCTGTTGAACAGCTGGGCTTCTAGTGGCAGATATGAGGGACCAGATATGGGGGTATATGATGCATTTGAGATGGAGGCTCATCTGGATCTTTCTGGGAGAGTTTAGATTTGAATAAGGGTGAACAGCTAGCATTCACGGACAGCTGTGGTGGACACACCCGAAAGTAACCCCCAAGGACTCACACCCTTGTAGAATCCCCTCCCTTTGGGTGTGGGTAGAACCTGAGCTTCTAACCAATAGAATAGGGCGAAGGTGAGACAGTATTTCACATCTGTGACTATATTTTGATGTACGTATAAGTCCACCTTGCTAGCACACACAAGAGACTTCTCCTGCTGGTCTTGGAAAAGCCATATTGTAACTGCCCCTGGAGAGGGCCACATGGCAGGGAACTTTGGAGGGCCTTTATGACCGGAGGGTGGCCTCCAGCCAACAGCCAGTAGGAAGCTGAGAACTTGGTCCTAGAACCACAAAGAAATGGATTTGTCCAACAACCGCATGAGCTTGACAGAGGATTCTGGACTCCAGAAGGGAATGCAGCCAGGTTATGTGATGGCTACCCAATTCTGGGCAGAATGGATGGCCTCTCTGTCCTCAATCTAGCTATGGCCATAATCAAAGAAAAGACTGAGGGAAAAGGGGATGTCTTCCATGTTCCACCAAAGCCCAGGAGGCCACAGACACAGCTGAGATTGAACTTGCAGGGCAACTGGAGAGGCTTTGAGGAGGAAGTGCCGAAGTAGAGGGAGATATGATGCAGAAGACATGAAAGCGAAAGCTGAAGACTCACTCTGTTGGCCACGAAGTCCCATGCAAGGAAAAAAAAAAAGCAGATTTTTTTTTTTTTCCCAAGTAGTTACTTATCCCAACAGACCAAAATGTGAAACACCCTCTTAAATAGCAAGGCCATTCACATGGTAGCTTCAACTCACTGAGAAGTTTTTAAGGGAGCAGCCTGGTTTCCCTAAAAATGAAAATATCTTGTCTCCCACGTCTCCAGATTGGCACCACTTTGTAACTCTGTGCCTACATGAGATTTAATAGGGGCACCCAAAGGAAACAGCCCCAGTCTTTCCATACCTAAGATTGCTTGTACAAGCAAGTAGTAAATACGTTTCTGGAATATTAAAGAAATAATTATTGGTTCCACCCTCCAGTTCGAGTTAGTGAACCAGACACAGGCATTTATTGTCTTGTATGGGCTGCGTTCCTCAGAAAGCTGACTAACACAGAGTTAAGTGTGCAGGATGTCTGTCGGCGAGTGCCTTTGGGAGAAATCCGTGTAGAAAAGACGAGAAGGGAGCAAGAGTGGGAAGAAGCAGCAGTTGAGCTGTGATATGGGCCCTGGCTAACCCTGTGAGCCAGTCTAGAACTAGAGCAGCCCTTCAGAGTCGTCTCAAGTTAGGCCAATACGGCCAGATATTTATACATCACCTTCATAAGTCACTGGACGCAGCTACCCTGGGAGGGTCCGAGCTTGGGCAAGGTGGCTCTCTGTAGCTGCGGCAAGCCCTAAAGGGGTGGACAGCCCTGAAGGAGGTACCCTCTCAACAACTGGAGCAAGAAGGCCTTAGCAGAAGGGGGTTTAGGTGGCACATCCCTCTGCCCACCACACCTCTTCCTCCTTTTAAAATAATCATGAAGGAACAAAAACAGTATAACCTGACAGCAAGAAAGAATAGGAAAAGATGCTCAGGTTCATCAGTTCTTAGGGAAATGTAAATCAAAACCACAAAGGAGTAGCACTTCATATCCACTAGGATGACTATTATCAAAAACTCTTATAATAACAAGTGAGGAGGATGTGGAGAAAAACCAGAACTCTCATGCATTTGCCGGTGGGAATGTAAAATGACTCAGCTGTGGCAGAAATAGTTTTACAGTTCCACAAGAAGTTAAACATAGAATTATCATAGGCTCGGCAGTTCTGCGCTTAGATATATACCCAAAGGGTTGGAAAACTGGTACTCAAATTTGTGTACATGCGTGTTCATAACAGCACTATTGACAACAGCCAGAGCTAGAACCAGCCAAAATGTCCATCACCAGGTAAATGAATTGCAGTCTAGCCACACAGTGGAATATGACACAGCCATGAAGAAGACATGGAGCCCTGGTGTGTGCTGCAATATGGAGGACTCTGGATGGCATCATGCTAACGGAAGGAAACCAGACACAAAAGGTCACATGTTGTATAATTCCATTTACATACAATAGTCTGAGTAGGTAAATCTATAGAGAGAACACACATTGATGGTTGCCAGGTGTTGGAAAAGGGGCTGGGGAGCAACTGCTGAACATGTACGGGGTCTCCTTTGGGGCTGACAGAAATGTTCTGGAACTAGATAGAGGCACCAATTGTACAACATTGTGAATGCACTAAATGTCACTGAATTGTTCACTTTAAAATAGGTAATTTTGTCTTAACGTGAATTTTATCTCAATTTAAAGAAAGGAAAAGATGGAAGGGAGCCTGCAATGGCTTAAGAACTCCACCAAATTCCTTGAAGCTGCCACAGTGGAGACCAATGAAGCCACAGCCTAGAATACCTACAAAGGAACTTCAGCTAAGGAGGGAGCAAA